AATATAACCCAATATAGTATCACACCATTAATCTCATACATTTTATTAGTTATTTTAAAACATAAGGCATAGAAGTTAAGATCTACGTACAACATGTAAAATCTGCTTTCTTATTTAAGACAGTGTTGCCATGAAGTTCTCATGAGTAGTATAATGTTAATATGACAAAATGAGATTTGATGTGACACAATAAAAAAGGTGTAATGCAGCATCAATTTCTATTGTTCTACTTTTTTAGTTGTTTTTCAAATACCAGCTTAGAAGGGACAAAATATTGAACTTGATTTGGTTTCTTTGGATCAAAGGGATATATCACAGAAATAGTGATAATGAAATTTTATGGATAATTTCAAGTATCAGAAGACGATGTAGATGAGTCTTAAAACTCAGGCCTGATGTGTTATGCAATGTAATTAAGCATTGAAATAATATATATAATTAAGTTTACTTGCATAGTTTTGAGTCTGTGTTTGAATTGAACAATCAAGTGCACGTAATCATTACATTTCAAGTCATGGCATTTCAATATGCATGTAATCACGATGATTCAAATATCAAACAACCACCTTGTACACAGTGGAAATTAACATTTTGGAATTTTATGTTTGCATTAAGAGAATCTTTCAGTCAGATTCTTTGAAATGCTTAAGCACCACATCATCCATTACTAGAATCAGAATTACCATAAAATACTGCTGGAAGGAGTTTCCTGTTTAAAAAATCCATTTATTTTAGAAAACCTGCAATCCCAAACAAAAGTGATAACGAAGAATATATCTATCTCCTTTCATTTTGGCAATTACTTTGTACTGAGATGGTATCTATACAGTTCATCACAAAGAAAATAATCCACTTTTACAGCAAGCATGCCAAAGTGGAGCTCCCAATGGTCCTTTCTGAGGAACTTACATGCTCTTGGAAATGTGTGGACTCTTACAATAAAAAGGAGCAGAAATTCACAATCACTGGGGGAAAAGAGGTGTTTTTTGACTCAATATCACACACAGATCATAAGCTGGTGAACCTCACAGCGTTAGTATGTTCTGCCGCACAGCTGATTGGATGCAGGCTTGGCAGTCTGGCTGCCAATTAGGCGTGAAGCATTTGCTGTTGAGTTGAATAACACAGGGATATTTACATAGAGTTACACAGGATGGAATCAAGGGCTTCTCTGCAGGAGAGACATAGCAGGTTATGATGAAATAAAGCAAAGCACAGAAGTCTCTCCTGGAAGTATTGTTAGAGATGGTCTCGTGGCATACCAGCTCTTTTGGAGTGGCACACCTTGAGACACTCAGTTCTTGTATCAGAGTGCCTACATTCTGGCTTGTTTTCCTACTTCCAAAGCCGTTTTCTTAATGAAGTCCCTGGGAGGATCATTACTCAAGCAGCTGGGAAACTCAAATGAAGTTATGGGTCCTGATTAACCTAGTTCAGTCCTGGCTATCGCAGCACCTGGGAAGTGAACCAGCAGACATAATATTCCTTCCTGTGTGCGGTGTGTGTGTGTGTGTGTCTGTGTGTGTGATTCTTCCTTACAAATGAAGTAATAGTAAATAAATATTTCAAAATGTAAGTTTTCTTTAAGAACTTCCAGTTCAAATCTTGAAAAGTACTCAAAGCATCGCTATTTTCGGCACGCTTAGAATCACTGATGAATCAAGCACTGCAAAACTTTTATGGCTCGGTATCAAAACAATGTTATATTTGGTATATTCATTTTCACACTTCAAGAGGTTATCTATCAAATCTACTCCGGGAGACACCCACACTTGCGTAGAAAAGTTTGATAAATGAACCTCCTTCTTCATTGCCAAGCACAAACCAAGCATACAGTGACAGCAGTGAGAACACTGTCAAGTTCCTGCACACGGCTTGAGATCTTACTAAGCTCAGCATTTCATACAGTGTTTGGGCAAGAAGTGGTATAGAGCCACTCTAAGCAAGGACTTCCTGCTGTACTGTTATCATTCCCCCTTTAGAGAACACTATGCAAGTCTTTCAATCCACTTTACTGCCTGGATAAAGACAGCCCCCTCATTTTCTTTTATGAAAATCTATTGAACAAAAAGAACAATTTCCTTTCTACTCTAAATATAGACCGCATAAAAATAATTCACTATTTCAGAATAATGAATAGAACCTCGTTTTCGGTTTGAATTAGCCAGTTATTTGCAGGTCTACCAATTAAGAACGTTGACAAACAGGAAGGAGATTTATGATAAGCTCTGTAGGCATAAATGTGGTATGTTTTCTCACAAGATTCACAATATGACCAAGGCACGTATAAGGACACTTGATCATAAAAAAGTCAACAACTGCGAACCCGGTGGTGCTCTTCAAACATTTCTCCTTAGCTCTTTCCACAGTATTTCATCACAAATCATGACACAGAAAATTGTTAAATACAAATTATTTACAACCTGTTCTTTTTTTTTCAAACTATTTGGTCCCACATTCCTGATACATTCATTACATTATGTTCTCCTAAAGGCCATGATGAGCCGGAAATACAAACAATTACATTTTAAAGTTATGTCTGTAGGTATTTATTGTAGCTGATGATTTTCTTCAAATAGCAGTTTTTATAACGAGGCTTGTGTTCTGAATATTTCTCAAGACAGCTTTGAATTTAAAAACAAGCACACTCCCTGGATGATTGGCATTTGGTATTAACAGATAAGATTCTAATTGCAACATGCATATTTCATAGTGTTGTATCTTGGATTAAGTCTCAGCTTCTTGCCAATGCACACTGTGCAGCCTAGCTGGTCATAATTCAAATAGGTGGTGGCTGAGACTTGATGTAGAATCCAGAAGCTTGCTTGCAAGTATTTGAGGTGCACATCAGTGAATGGGTGGTTGGTCTGGCTCTCCGGCTCTCACATTAAATAGATTAGATAGGTAGATAGACAGATAGATGGATATTTTTTAAATCTCATTGAACAGAAAAGTGCATTGATAAAGTTTCAAATCTAGGATGTATTGCAAAATTGAAGCAAAGCAAACTTCTTATTAAAATGCATTACACTGTGTGAACAGAAAACTGTAAATCACCAAACTTTGTGATCATCTTCATATATTAATTTCTTGTGATTGTTTTTTCTGCCCTACAATAATATACAATTAACATGGGCCTGGTATCTCAAGATAACAGTATTAACTAGCAGTTCTTTAATGAGATCCTTCAAGTAATTTACTTTTCTTGACAAAAATAATTATTCTAGACAACTGACCAGTCTTTCTGGGGCATTTCAGAAATTAGATGCAACTATCGTTCTAGCGTAATTGATACCCTATCACAAGAGTGAACAATAAAAATAGTCCTCAGCTAAAATTCTACAAGCATTAAAGACTTATAAGAATCAAAGCTGTTTAATTAAGTATTCTTTTCTTTTACCCCTAGAGCCCAGGTAGCTGGAGATTCTACACCTGTGTGGGAGACGCGGAAAAAGCTCCTGGCTCCTGGCTTCGGATTTGAGCTCTGTGGCCTTTGCAGCCATTTCGGGAGTCAAACAATGGGTGGAATATTTCTCTGCTTCTACTTTCTCTGTAAATGTAATATTTCCAATAAATATACCTTAAAATTAAAAAAAAAAAGCAGCCAACAGGCAAACGAGAAAAAGTCAGAGGGGTTGTCAATTTGGAAATGTTTCTGATTTAATTGTGAGCTTAGCAGATAGAGAAGGAAACAAGTCAGGCATGTAGTTCAGTTCACATCTATGTGCTGACATCAAAAAGCATCCCATATTCTTGAGTGTGTGTTAAACCCTGACTTGAGGCCTAAGGCAGCCAATGCAGAAGCAGTACTTGGTTATGGATGCACAATTGTCCCCACCAATACGGAAGCAGAAAGTACTCCTTAAGTGATACTGCCCTTTCCCCCAATTTTTCATGCTTTGTGTTATCCTGCCTTTTTTAATGTTTGGCAACACTGAATTCAGTTAAATAATTGATGGTCTACTTACCCAGACTTTCGTTTTGTTAAATCTGAGAAATGTATTTCTAACTGTATTCTATTATTCCTACTGGAAAAAGTAAAACTTTCAGTTTGTAATAGCTAATTTGTTCCCAGAACTCCCCCCCACACACCTTTTTTAACATCTCTATTGCTCCAGTGAATCATTTTTATTTAATCAACCTGTGATGTTAAAAATTCAGACCCAGTGTCTACTTGGGCTTAATTATTTCCCTTCTAGATGAACTAGGGCAAGCTCTGGTTCCCCAGGTCTCCCGGGTACCAGCCCCCGAGCCGTAGATGGGCATTGTTCCTGTAGACCTCTCAGGCCTTGGCGCTGTGACTCTCCAGGATGACTGCATGATACTGGTTTTACATTCCTGTGTTAAAGCTCAGAAGTCACAGGAATGGACCTGAGCCCTGGCTTCCATTAAACATCGCCCTAGTGGGAGCTCCACTGGAGGATGACCCTACTATTGTGACCACACTTTGTTTCATCCCTAAACCTCTTTGGGACATCCTTTGACAACTGGATACAGCTAGTCATCGAGAGAAACGCTGTGCCAAGAGTTTGAGGCATGGAAACACCAGGATCCCATGGTTTCTCCTTTGAAACCCTCTCTTCCCAAGATCCTCATCTTCTAAGACTGTGTCAGGAATAGCAACTTCCATAATCTCTAAAATGCCTGCAAGTGTTATTCTTTCTTTATCTCAAAGAGTATCTGACACCTTGTTTCTGTACTAGCCTCCATCTTGTATAATAGTTTGACTACACCCTTGGTGCTCTGCATCAAACAATTTCATTCTTTATACGGCCAGGGTATAAATTTGCTCTGTTACAAGGTCCTCCTGCATTATTATAAATTCCACATTTAAAGAAGCAATCCCTTCTTTTCTGCTGTAACCTGCCAAGAATAGCCTTCCAGAGTTCACTTAGAAAATCCTCCCAAATATCCTAGTTCATCAGTCTCAAATTCTTCTCAAAGTAATCATATACAAACATGATTGAGTCAAGTTCATTATCACATGTAAGAATGATGGGCCTTTCCCCATTCTCCCATATATTATCCCTCACTTCTAATACATCATCCTCATTGCTTTTACTTGCTATATTCTTACAACATTCTAATCAAGATGCTTAAGCAATCTGTAAGAAGATTAAGACTCTACTTTTATCCTCTTTTATCCTGATCTCTTGTGGGAATCTCTGACAGTACACTGCTTGTGATGCCCAAGACTCCTAGCACACAACCACAAAACCTTCTAACCTTTATCTGTTATGAAGTGTTAATGCCATTTCCACATTTCTAGGGATTTGTTACCAAAATCTCACACTTCTTTGATATAAATTTCTGACTTGGCTCACTTGTGTTGCTTTAACAGTGGCTGCACATTTTTTAAATGATAAGCATTTATTCCTACAATTCTCAAGGTTGAAAAGTCCAAGATCAGGCACCACCAAACTTGATGTCTAGAGAAAGCAGCTGTCTCTACTTCTAACTTACCCAGTGTGGCTTCATGCCCTGTGGAAGAATGCCGAGTCCTCCCGTGATGGGAATTAGGAGGGCATAAAGGGATCAGGCCAGATCCTTCTTGCCATTTTACCAAACATTTTTCCACTACAGGGAGTAGAGTCTTGCAGTTTCTAGGAAGTTGCAATTGTTAATACTCTAATGCCAATTTCATTTCAACATATAAATTTTAGGGAACATCCAGATCTTAACATATCTCAAAACTCAAATTCTTTCTTTCTTAAGGTGAATTCTCAGTACCAGCTTCCTTGAGAAATAAACATGATTACTTAGTTTTATTTGAAAAAATACTTTCATTTATTTTAAATTAAAATTATCACATTCTACACCATGCATTTATTTCACACACATTGACTCTAATATTTCCTATACATGTGTCTGCTAAAATGAAAGCATTTATGTTCATTATTATTTTTAAATTTTACTTCTTTTAATTATTATAATTTCATGATACAGTTTCTTAGGCCCTGGGATTTGCTTTATCCCCTCCCCAATTTCCTCCACTCTCCCCTGTATCGTTATTATAGTACAGTTCTTCTTACACAGTCAAATGTCCATCATTGTGGGCATGGACAATGGCAGAGAGTCCAGCATTCTATTGTTAAGACATATGTAAACAGCACAGAACAAATTATAATCAATCAAAGTCAAAATTAAATATGTATATTTTATTTGGTAAAATATTTTCTATTTGTCAAATTCTGAAACCATTATTCATGTACACTAAGATTAAACAATTAAATAAATAATTATAGATACTGGAAAGCAAGTGTTTCCCCTTTTAGAGTAAGAGATTATAGCTGAAGCGGGGGAACATTTAAGAAAATTGATTTAATAATGAATTACATTTCCGAGATAAACAGGAACTCATGTATACCTCAATCGAGACAGATGGTTACACATTAAAATATTTGTATGGATGCAAATATTCTTAGGTTACTGTATACTCAGGTATTTTTATTACCACTTGTTCTATGAACTTAAGGAAACCTATATACAAGGGCATTTCTAGGTACATCAGGGAAGGAAATCAGACAATCAAATCTTGACTTCTACCACCATTATTTAATGTCCTCTATGAGAAATTTACTGATACCATCACAACATACACAAATAAATCACAATTCAGTTTTATTATTTAACTGCAACTTAAAGGTAAACACTATGTGTTTTGTTTCCATTTTATTCATTAGGTGTGTACTAAAGTAAAAGACCAAGATTTAATTTTGCATGAGAATAACAGAATGGAATTAGCATTCACATAAAAACAAAAGCTAGGAGATTAAATTGTCCTTGAAACTCACAAAGAGCATAGAATAACAGCAGTAAATTCAGCAAATTTGGTGAGGGAATGGGTATCCACAGGGAGAATCAAGATTCTGAGATAACTGTAACTGAATCTCAGTGTATTTATATCAGATTTATTGTCTACTGAGAAAAACAGGAAGATACAATTATGTTTTAAAAATTGGAAACCAGAATAGTCTAATAAGTGATACTTGGAAAACAATAAATTTTATTCAAATTAGTCTTTCATTTTAAAGGTGGGCATATTAAAGTTTGCATGAAGCAGGGATAGGAGCAGAGTGGGCAGAGCTAGGTTGCAGAACCTGTCAGTGAATGTTGGAACTTAGGGTGAGTTGAGCCTGGCCAGGCTGCTGCACAGAATGGCAAAAGCAAGGATGGGGAACGGGCTATGCTGGTCTGAGAGCAACCACTGGCATGTACAGTATTTGTTGCTAGGAACATGCCGGTTTTGGAGCTAAGGGCATGTCCTGGCTGGGTTGTGGTTTCCTCTGTTGTGCATGAGTGCTGGAATAGTTGGCAGCAATCTGGAGTAAACATGGCTGCAATGTCCCTTGGCATGGATGCGGACTGGGCCTGGGGTATGCCAGACAAGGCTTGACCCCAGCACCCACTGGTGCTCTCAAAACCAGTGTGGGTATAAGTTGGGCTGGGCTAGGTCTCTGTCCCTGCTGATTCATGTGATAGCTGTGTCTGGGTGTGGGCCACGTATGGTTGGGCTGTTACACAGTCTTCTTAACACAACTTTATGTAGATATGATGTACCAGAGTTTGGAGTCAAATTTAAAATTTCTCAAAATATCAAGTATTATAAAATCTCAGCCTTTTGAGTTCATAATTTGTTAGCAATTTAAAAAAATCAAATTTTAAAAAAATATATGATCAATTCTAAAATCCATTTTAAAATAATATGATAAAAATTGAAACTGCTCAAACTCTCATAACTGTATTTTAATTGCCTTTCTTGCTATTATGGATCAGAAATATAAAATACTACAGCAACAATGATTTAACAGATAATTGTTCCACATGCCAAGTTTACTAATTTGTTATGAATTCAGTGAAATTTCTCATGGAGTTTTAATATTGTGACCATTCAACTTATCACTATTCTTTTGTTTAGACTAAATATGTATAATGGAAAATATTATTAGCAAAATGTTAATAAGGTTAGTATACATTTGATAGACTTACAGTATCACCCTAATGACATTTGTATGTTACTAAATAAATGATTATGACAAAAATGAATCTTTTTTTCTTGTAACTCATATAAAGTGATTTTTTTTACATTTTGTCTACATTTTCTAAATCATAGTTTTTGCCCACTTTTCATCTGTTACGAATAGTTAGAGAAGAAGGATTTATTTTCTTGGTGTCTTAATGTCTGTGTCCTCCAAGACAAGAGATAAACATTATTTGAATCAATCTGCTCTGGAGTGTATGTTTTAACTTCCAAACAAACCCATAAATAATAGAAAGCACTGAAAACCCATATCATCTTCATCTATTTTTAAAAATATGGTAAGGTAATTGAAAGTTTCAAAGTAAAGCATGGCTCCAGTTGTTTTTCAAGTGAAAAGGGGGCACATTGGTGTCAGTGGAAGATAAAGCCATGGTTTATGAATCAGTGATGCTGAATATAGACCGTGGCAGCTTGCCCAAAGGCTTCAGGGACTAGGATGACTCGAGAACCAATCACTGGGCAAAGCTTCCTTTCCACGATGGACAAAATTGCTGTCACTACAACACACAATGGATGCCAAGCTTAGGTGATAGGAGGAAGAGGGAAAGCCAGAAAAATGTGGGTGTAACTGCCATATCCTATAACTGCATTATTATTACAGGATGGAAATTTATCAGTAGAAACATGGCCCTAAAATGGGTTCTTGGGGGGCAATGCTGAAGAAATAAACAAATAAACAAGGCAAATATATCACAAGCTCTCTCTCTCACATATACACACACACACAGTGAGAAATGTATAGTGCTACGCTATTGCAGCATTATGGTTCCATCACCAAGATATGTTATCAAGTAAGTGTTCATTAATAGGTGATTGGATAAATGAAAAGTCATAAACACAAGGAAACACTCAATGCAGCTTTAAAGAAGAAATCTCATTTCTAATGACACTCACAAGAATATTATTTTTACAGCTTACTTTTTATTAAGTGCTACAATAAAAGTTATCTACCAGAATTACTCAGTCCTTGGTTTAATTAGAGAGAAGTTTGAGCTTAAATGAAATATTGTAAAACGCATAATGTAGACTTGTACAAACTCTGAATACAGAGTGAAGCACCATGGTGATGTCACGTAGTTTTTTTCATAGCACTAGATTACTTGTGAACCTCATTGTACGTGGCTGTTAGTGTTTTTTCAGGTTGTTACTTAATATTTCAAAATAATACTCAGGGTTATGCTAATATAAACCCTATGCACCTCTTGGAATGTCAACATAGCTTTGTTTTTATCTTCTTTTTTTTTTGGATCAAGTGTTGTTGAGAACAGATTTTTGCCTATTTAACATCCTCGCTGTATAGCATTATTCCTGATGCATTTACACTGTATGCATAAAAACGAAAAGTTTGACTATCTGCCTATTACAAAATAGTCATAATTTTTAATAAATCATTTTTGTTTACCTTAAAACTTGACTTTCAATTGGTTTACACACACCATTGAGAAGGTAATTTTGCTTGGTTTCTTTCTTAGTGTAGAAAAAATTAGTTTCATTTCATATCTGTACAGAATTTGAGGGAGCCAAACAATATTTTAAAAATATGGCAATATGTACTTTAAATATAGGAGAGCTGAAGAATTAAAAACTTCAACATCACCTTTAAAAGTTATTTTATCAAGTGCCAAGAAAGAATCAATGCCTTGATCATCCTTAATAACATTGAATAATGAAATAAAATGATTAGCTATCATAACTATGGATTTTAAATGAATTGTTTTAACTGCTCAATGTTTAGAGTGGTGATTACCAAGACAGAAATAATGCAGAATATTTGCTTGAGCTCTGGAGTACATATTTTAGAAAAAAAATTATGTATTTACTTTACTAAATTAAGAAATAGAGTGGAAAATACCTTATTAGAAAGTGATGATCACCATAACGAATTATTTCAGCTTTAAATGGTAAGAAAATATATCTCAGTTCAAACAATAATAAACAGCTGTGAGATTTACATAAAGTTTAAGTATGTTGAATATAGTTTTTTTTCTGCAAGTTATTTTGAGGGACAACTAACAGAGGTGTGTCACAAAATATAACATGTATACTGAGAGTAAACCAAATGAATGCAAATTAAAAATCACTCCTGCAGAATATTTTAATCTAGGAACAGTTTTTTTTATTTCTTTTACTTAGTGCTTGTTGACAATTGTGTAGAAGGTCAAGTTTGTGATTAGATTACAAAATGAATTGAAAATACATCATTAAAAAGTTGTAAGACATGGTGAAGGAAAATTGGGATAGAAAAATATGGCTGTGTTCTTAAAAGCATATATATGAATTTCCTTCCCTTTACATACATAAAGGTAAGAAAACTGTAATGAGGGTAACATGATACTCTGTGGTATGAATATTTGTAAATTAGTTGTATTTTAATATATTCATTAATCTGTAAGTTGGATGTATTTTGATGTATCCATTTTTGTATACCTTCTAGCTCTTACAGTTATGATAATTAGCAAAGAAGAAAAAGACCTATCTATCAATTGCTACCACAGCTATGTAGATGCTTAGTCACTAGAAATTAGAAATTATTAACCACAGTGTTAATTTTATATTTATTTCATGAACCTACATAATTAATGCCAACCTTATTGAATAGACAGAAAGCTTTCTGAACAGCAAGCATACAATTTTCTTTGATCTGCTGTTTGTGCTTAGCAACAGGGCTGAATAAATTTTGTCAAATAAGTCATCCATATGACTTGATATATTTTATGCAAGAGTTGTAAAATGTAACATAATTGCAGTTTGAGACTGTCCTTCTTCCTTCTTACTCCTAGAAATGTATTAAAATCAATCACATATCAGTCAGAACCCAAGGGAGAAAACCAGAAATAAACATATCATGGATAATATATTATTTTGAATTTTGTTCAATTTTAGATCAAATTTTCCAGACTTTAGCATGTAAGGATACTACACAGAAATATGTACATTTAAAGCTTAGCAAGCAAATGGAACAAATATTTGACATTTCCAATTTATATGTCTATATTTTCAGTTATAAATCTATAGTTAAATGTATTCTATACAAATTAGAATCATTTTCTACTGTTATAATTT